AATCCCACTGTCCATGTCACTGATAAAGACACTGATATGTCTAGATGGTGAATAGATGCATGACCACAGGACATGGCAACGTAGTGCAGAAGGCCTGATTTACATCCTTGAGTGAAGGAGTTTGCACCAAACTGTGATTCAACATGAGTAATGAGAACTTTCTTTTCCTATCACTTGTTAGAATTACTGATGCGAGTTGGAAGAGCAACGCGGTGTGCTTGGGTAGTGAGGAAGGACCACCTAGAGTCAACCCGTGTGAGATACACCTGAGAAGAATACCTCCCCATTTAAACCTCTCTGAAGAGGAAATAGCTAACCAAGGCTGTGCAGTATACACTTATTTAGAACAGTGTTTCATGGAGCCTAGAAACCTAATTGCTCCATGTCCATCATCGGTGACATCTACATTAATTACCTCCATTTTTTTGCATAATTAGAGCACTTGTGCAGTTGACAGGGAAGCTAGGCTGGGCTCCCCATCAGTCTGTTAATTATATCTCTCTCTAGGCTGTGTGCGAGATCCCCTACAGGCAGTATGGGAAGAACCAGAAAGAGCTCCCCTTTCATCTTAGTGCTGAGGGACATGGGTTAGTCGGGGACTTGTCAGTGTTGTGTTCATGACTGGACTCAATGATCTTAAAGGTCTTTTCCAATCAAGGCAATTCAGTGATTCTGTGATTCATAGGTGACTGGTTACTGCTCTGACTACCATGCTGTTAATCAAAAGGGGAAAAGGAGGAGCTACTCCAGCCCTCTTGGCACTCTGAATAAAAGTCAGTCCTGGATCTTAGATATTTTGATGCTTTACAAACCAAAACATGTGCTTGAAGTTGTGTGCCTCTCTTCCCTTATAGTTTTCTCCTTTATAGATCAAAACTGCTCGTAACCTGTGAGTGAGCTACAATGCTAAATCCTTTATTTTCTTTTTTTAACGCTTTGAGACCCTTCCCTGAAAATGGTCACCATGGAAATGAGGGTTTATTTCCCTTCCCTCACCTTCTTACAAGTTTTAGTTGAGAGGTCCACGCTGAAATGCTTGCGTTGTCTGACTTGTCTTCTCACACCCAGGGAAGGTTGTGAGCCTTTAGCTCATGGACGGTTTAAGGCAACATCCCTCATGGATGTTAAATTTCCTCAAAATAATTGGAGTGCAGCAAACTTTTCTTTGTAGCCTATTTTTAATCCTGGATGTCATTACATTATTGAACTGAGCCGTTGGCAGTGCCAGGAGAGTTTTGTCGTAGCATCCTCTTGCTTCTGTGAAATTTGAGCAAATAATTGTTTGTGAACAGGGGTCTGTAAGAAGCCTGAGCTGCTGTGAATTGATAAGAGCATTTCCAAAGACATTTTGCAGTAATGATGAGCTGCTGACTCGCTGTGTGCTTGCTCCATTATACGCTAATAGCAAAAGTGACTTTGTGTTGTACCTGACTGCAAATGATCCAACCTGTTGTCTCTCAGCTATTTTGCTTCAATATAAGCCAAAAATTCAAGCATCAGGTGTGGCTGGCCTTAGCTCAGGGAGCCTGGTGCATCGTAGAGGGTTTGCAGGAAACAGGAGTTGGATTTGGGGTCTTCCTTGAGTTTTGAACAACCTACTTTGGCTAGGTTGATGTGGGATGTAGAGGGGTTATGGCTGCTTTGAGGGTCATACTTGTGTTGCAGGGCTTTTGAAGGTAGCAGAAGGAGTGAAATAAAAATAGAAGGAACTTTTACAAATACTTTCACACTTGTTCACAGAAAATCTGAAAGCATTTTGTAAAGCATCACAGCCACAAGGCTCTCTATGAATGATTTGGTACGTGCAGATGAAGAACACTGAAGCACAAAATAATTGCATGTGCTAAGACGGGTGGGAAAGTCCAAACTAGATCCTCACACCACTGAGGCAAAAAAAATCCTTTTCTATTTCTACTTCCTTCAGTCTGTAAGAGTAAATACAGTTCAGTTTATTGAAACAATGAATATTAGAGGGAATAACCTGAAAACACATCTCTTCATTTTAATTTTAATTCTAAAAGTCTGAAAAAAGGTGATAGGAGAAAAAAAAAAACACAGAGCTCCTCATTAGATGTTTCCACAATGTTCTAATGCTAACAATGCATTTGAGTCATCAGGCTTCTCTTTCTAACACATCTTTCTCTTCTTTCTCTCCCCTCTCAGTCAATTTTGGGGGTCCAATGTGAAGTGCAGAAGCAGCTGAAAGCCTTTGTCACTCTTGAGCGCTTCGAACAGATCTACAGCTCCAGCATCGCTGGGTGCCGGCAGGTCAAGAAGAACAAGAACTTTGCCTCTGGAGGCTCTATCTTCGGCAAAGGGGTCAAATTCGCCATGAAGGATGGGCGCGTGGCCACCGACATTATCAGTGTGGCCAACGAGGATGGACGGAGGATTGCAGCCATCTTGAACAATGCCCATTACCTGGAGAACTTGCACTTCACCATCGACGGAGTGGACACGCACTATTTCATTAAGCAAGGGCCATCAGAGGGTGATCTGTCCATCCTGGGCCTCAGTGGCGGGCGGAGAACCCTGGAGAACGGCGTGAATGTGACAGTGTCCCAGATTAACACAGTGCTAGGTGGAAGGACTAGACGTTACACGGACATCCAACTCCAGTATGGTGCGCTGTGTCTAAACACTCGCTACGGGACCACCTTGGATGAGGAGAAGGCCCGTGTCCTAGAGCTGGCCCGACAGCGTGCTGTCACCCAAGCTTGGTCCCGGGAACAGCAGAGACTGCGGGATGGGGAGGAGGGTATTCGCTCGTGGACAGAAGGGGAGAAGCAACAAGTGCTAAACACGGGCCGGGTACAGGGCTACGACGGCTATTTTGTGATCTCAGTGGAGCAGTACCCCGAACTCTCAGACAGCGCCAA